TGCAATAACTAGAAAAACCTGCGAAACCAAAGCTGCTTCCCCAGCCTCCAGGGGCAGCGGCTATTCCTGGCTCCCTTTAATGTTCTCAATTTATTAGCGTTATCCTCCTTTTTTTCACGCAGGATAAAATAGAGATTATTTTTGTCCTCTCTAACAAAGAAAAGGAGCTTGCAAAAGACACAAAAAAAAAAAACCAAACCAAAAAAACCCAAAAAAAACACCCAACCCTCCGCGTCGACGCTCAGCCTCTGATTTTGTGCCCAGAATTATTTGCAGGCGTAATCAGGTCCTTGGCCATCAAAGCGATGCTATCGACAGCACCGGGCTCACACATGCACCGTGTTATCCCCGCGCAGCCCCGGCTCTTCGCAGCCCTGGGCAGGTTTGCAGCCCCGTTTTACCAGCCTGCAAACCGGGGGTGGAGCCGGGGGGGGGGGGGGGTGGCACTTTCTCAGCTTCTCTGGCCCAAACCGGCGTTTGCACGCAGGCCGTGGTGTGTGTCAAGTCCCAGCCCCTCTCTGCCCACCAAGGGCGAGTCGTTGCGTCTGTGGAGGTTGTTTGGGTTGAACCCAGCTCCCTCCGTCACTCCCCTTTACGCCGCTATAGCAGATGCCGCCCTTGCTTTATGCCACGCAACACAAGAAAAACCTCGTGTTCAACCCCTTCCCAAAACCCAAGGATGGAGAAGCTCCCTGGCCACCTTCCCTGTGCTTGTGGTGGGGGGGCATCAGCTCCGTGCGAGCTCTTCTCCCGTGTGCATTAACCCAAAGACCCCCCCCCCGTGTGCCCCCGAGACCTCCTCCCATCACAGCCAGCCCAGTGTGCCCAGCAAGGTCAGGGCAGCTCCTCCAACTCCAAAAAGCCAAAAGATGTGACGTCTATCACCGGCGAGTAAGAAGCAAATTGATGTAATAGGTTTGTTATTTGCGCTGATAAGTGGTCCCCCTGCTCCCCTGTGGGGTGTCCTGAGTGGGGCAGAGCTGGACCTGGAGACACGGCAGTGCCACACTGTCCCGTGCAGAGAGCAACCCCCTCTTGTTTTGGGGGGAGCTGGGGGGACCATCCCCACAGACCTGCGGCCAACGGGGAGGGGCTGGGATGTCCCAGGGCGACAGACCGAGGTTAGTGGGAGCCGGTGAGTTGTAGCGAAAGGAGGTGAGTGTTTGGGGCAAAGCTCAGCTCTCTTGGCACTGAGAGGTCCCCACGGGGAGAGCGGAGCTGGGATCACCAGGGGGTTTTGGGGACCTGCTTATGGGGCAGAGGAGGTGGTTGGGGGGGGGGGGGGGATGCTGCAGCCCCTTTGGCTCCCGCCCTGACCCCGCAGAAGAGCTCCCTGCAGCCTCTCTGAAGTTCCTGGCGTGCCTCAGCCCCGGTTTTCCAGGCGATGGGCTCCCTGCTCCCTCGCCCTCTGCCCGTGTGTGGTTTGGTAGTGTCCTTGCTTTCTTTTTTTCACCTTCCTTTTCTCTCCAGAGGGGTAACTGGCCCCGCCAGGAGCCCTGCGAACCAGGCTCCGATCTGCTGAGGACACCCCAGCTCCAGGGGCATTTCCTACCTAAGCCAAAAAAATAAAAGCCGCTCGGGAAAGATGGATGTGAGTAGTGAGAGGGCGAAGGAGGACCGGGAGGGGAGGTAGGCAGAGGGGCTGGGACATGGTGGGAATTCAAATCTTCCATCTGGTGGCTTCTCACTAGGCTTTTTTTTTTTTTTTTTTTCTTTTTTTTTTCTCCGCATATTTAAGGTCTGAAATTTTCACTGATCTGTCAAAACGAGTGCTATAAAACCCCCAGCTAGCTGGAAAAGCAAAGTTATTAAAACCAGTTTGGTGACTCGTGACCTTTCCATGAAAAGTTTATATTAATATTCTTCCAAAAAAACACTCACTGAAAGAACAACTTGAAATGTTTAAGGGAAAAAATACTCTTGCCACAAAACGTCCCAATCTGGGTAAAAAACCCCGCTCGAGCAGTTCAGGGTGCTTAGCTGATCCTTCCTGCAGATCAAAGCTCATTGTATTTCTCCTTTTGCTCAAGGATATCAGCAACAATACCAAACTTCACTTCCCTCGTCCAAAACCATTCTCCAGTGAAATTAAATTAAGCTTTTTTTGTTTTGTTTTGTTAAAAAAAAGGAAAACAATAAAAAAAAATAATAAAAAAATAAACCCCAGGCGCAAGCCCGTGCCCCAGCTGGTGTTAATTGGCAGCTCCCCAGCCCTCGGCAGAGCTGAGCCAGCTCCTCCAAGTGCAGGATCAGAGGACCCTGGATCCTGCCTAAATCCTGCCCTCCCTGGGGTATTTTTTCCTCGCCCTTTGTTTTCTCTCGCTTTCCCAGGCCCCTGTGATCTATTGTCTTGCTGCATTACGAACATCTGATATTAGTCGCTGTCTTGACAACGCTCGCGTGTGAGTAGATGCGGCGAGCCGGTGCCCCCGCCGGCACCGCGGGCTCGGTGCGGGGGGAAGGAGCAAAGTCACCGGGCTTCCATCCCAGCGGGTCTTAGTGACCCGTTTCTGAGCACCTTTTCAGCACCATCGGGTGGTTTTTTCAGAGGCTGGCTCTCTGCTAGCCCCCACCCGTGGCTACCACCACCCCTGCCAAGCTGACGCGAGCGCGGGGAGGATGGGGCTGAGCCAAAACCCTCTCCGAGCCGAAATCGTCGTCCTGCATCACTCGGTGACAGGGGCCGAGGTGGCACTTTGAGGTTGCCCCCCCCCACCCACCCCCGACCCACCCAGCGTGAAGGATGTTCAGGAGAAACCCGTGGAAGACTGTGCAAACGCGTATTTCTTTCAAATAGAGAAAAGCACCTGTAGGGTGGCTGGATCCTGGGTGAAACGGCGGCCCCCCCGGGGGGGGTGTAATTAGGGAGGGGAAGGGGGGGTGGGAGGGGTTTTGCTGTGAGCACTGGTGGACAGCGGGCTCCGTGGCTGGTCAACACGGCTCGGCGGGCGCTTGGCAGGTCTACGGAGCTTGTTTTTAAGAAATACCTCGATGCTGAGCTCGAACTGAGGTTTTTCTACTGGGAACTTGAGCAAAGTTGGCCAAGTCGCTCGGTCTTACTGCTTGGCCATCCTCCTCCTCCTCCTCCTCTTCCTCCTCCTTGGGCTGTAGGGAGGGGGTCAGAGGTTCTTGGACAGAGGCTCAGGAGAAGACTGCAGTACAACGGTGTAGGTTATTCAGGATGAAGCTAATACTGACAAGATGAGAATATTAATTTGTTATATGCAGCAAGACGATGGGAAAAGGTCGTTGCCTTTTAAAGGACTTTCTCCTGCAGCCTCCCGGTCATGCTGAGCCTGAGCTGCCACATCCCCGTCACTGCCAGTCTGGGGGTAGGCGGGGGATCAGCACGGTGCAGTGTAGGAGAACTCTGTGGTACATTCTATATTTCTGTTAGTAAAATAGATTATATACGGAAATTTGTTAGGTGCTATAAAAAGGAGAGAATTAAAAAATGTCTATACAGAGACAGGCATATGTCAACTCACCAATTTATGTTTTACTGATATTGTTTCAATTGTTTTGATGAATTACTGCTGCTGTTTTAAACTATGCTGTTCCCATCGTACCCCTTTGTGCTCTCATGTTAAGACAGACTAACAAAGCAAGGTTGTAGCAAGGGCTATGGAGCTCTGCTGGGAATGGATCCCGATATCGTGGCAGGACTTCTGGGTCCCTCCAAAGAGACTCAGGGTGACACCTCCCGATGACCAAGAGCAGGGAGCAACGCCAGGAGAGCCTGAGGAGCAGAGGCTGCTCTGAGATAACAGAGGGTAAAAAACTATCTAAGGAGGGACCTGTGCAGAATATTTTATGGCTTGGTAGTCTGAACCTGGAGCTCCAACCTTGTCTAAAAGAGACTGCAGAGAGGAGAAAGTGGGTTTGTTTGTAGGCAAGCTCAGAAACAGTGTAAAGAAGCAATATTGCTTATATTGCTGGATGTCCTGGGGAAATCAGGGGCTGAACTGGTCTGGATCCAGTCAGCAACAGGGTCTGGAGCTATTACACCCTCCTGAGCTGCAATAGCTGCCATATTTATTTGAAAGGAATCAGATGGTGGATGAGTATTGGCTTCCCTCTGTATAATAAGGGCTATTGTAGACTGCCAGAAATGCAGACAGAGGAAGAGAGATGGATGGATGGATGGAGGGATGGAGGGATGGAGGGAGGGATGGATGGATGGATGGATGGATGGATGGGTGGAGGGATGGAGGGATGGAGGGAGGGATGGATGGAGAGATGGAGGGATGGAGGGATGGATGTGTGGATGGATGGATGGATGGATGGATGGATGGATGGATGGATGGATGGATGGATGGATGGATGGATGGATGGATGGATGGATGTGTGGTTGGATGGATGGATGGATGGATGGATGGATGGATGGATGGATGGATGGATGGATGGATGGATGGATGGATGACTGGGAGGATGGATGTGTGGTTGGATGGATGACTGGGAGGATGGATGTGTGGTTGGATGGATGGATGGATGGATGGATGGGTGGATGGATGACTGGGAGGATGGATATGTGGTTGGATGGATGGATGGATGGATGTGTGGATGGATGGGTGGATGGATGGGTGACTGGGCAGATGGATGGATGGATGCAAACTCGAGTTCATTTTGAATTATGCCATTTCTTAAGAGCAGTGTGGATGCCCACCACTGATGATTCTTCCTTTGGGTTCAGAGAATATGCATATTGCTCATGGAAACATCCATTGCTCCACATTTCCACTTGAATCTCTCATAGATACAAGTCTTCTGTTCCAAACTGAGCAAGTGAATAGTTCTGACTGGCTTTCACGGGGTCAACTGGGCTTAAAAAATAATAATAATAATAATAATAAAGACTAAAAATCCCCAAAGCCTCCTCTGAACTCCATGGCTGGTGCTCACATTAGCATAGGCAATGTCCCCTGACATCCGGGCAGCAGGCAGGAGCATCTGTGCCGGAGGGCTTGGGGGTGTCGGTGGAGGAGGGAGGGAGGAAATCTGGAACCCATAAGCTCCACTGATGTTTGCATTACCTTGCACGGCTGCATTGGTCTGTGCCTGGTCCGCCCACGGTCCTCCTCACCCTATCAGCAAGAGCCATTCCCCAAAGTTATTCGAACGCCCTCCTCTCCGTAGCCCAAAGGAAAAACCAACGGAGCTCCTTGGAGGGCTCTGCAAGGCTTGGGAGGTCTGGGGAGGCTGAAGGGTGGATGCTCCAGGCTGCACCTCTTGAGCGGGCGCTGGATCCCCTCCAGGCCGCCTTGCCGATGCGCTGTGGCCGTCGCATCTCGTGAGAAACCCCCCCCCCCCCCGCCCCCCGGCCCCCCAGCCCCGAGCCCTTCGCCTGCAAGAAGAAGATGAAAGAGGAAAGCATGTGCCCGGACTCCCCCGAAGGCAGCCTGGTCACCAGCGAGGAGGAAGGCGAGCGGCTGCACAAGAAATGCCTCCGCAAGCGTGGCCAGGGGGGCAAGCCGGCGGAGGACTGCGGTGCCCCCTCGCCGCAGGGCAAGCGGAGCAAGCGCAGCCCCGTCCCGCAGTCCTTCGAGGACGTGCACACGCAGCGCGTGATCGCCAACGTGCGGGAGCGCCAGCGGACCCAGTCGCTCAACGACGCCTTCGCGGAGCTGCGGAAGATCATCCCGACGCTGCCCTCCGACAAGCTCAGCAAGATCCAAACCCTCAAGCTGGCCGCCCGCTACATAGACTTCTTGTACCAGGTCCTGCAGAGCGATGAGCTGGACCACAAGATCACCAGTTGCAACTACCTGGCCCACGAGAGGCTCAGCTACGCCTTCTCCGTCTGGAGGATGGAAGGGGCTTGGTCCATGTCCGCATCCCACTGAGCCGGGGTACGTACCGACCTCTCCCCGCCGACACCTCCGCACGCTCCTGCAGTCCTCCACGCGTCTCCCCAGCCCGGGCCTGCGGGGGAAACGCACAGCAGCCGCCCCCTCCTCACGCTCCACGTGCAAGCGATTTGCTTTAACGAACCCCAGACGCCGGCGGTCGGAGGAGGTGGCGGTTCCCAACCTCGCCGGGGGCCGGTAGGACGTTGCAGGGGGGGGGGGCCGAGCAGCGGAGCCCTAAAGCGACCGATCTCATTTAGCAGGGTCCGGTCCGGGGCAGGCTAGTGAAAGGTTTAAAACGAGGGCTTTAAAAAAAAAAAAAAAATCTGATTTATCCCCTTCACGGGAAGCCGGGAGGGCGCGTAAATCAGCAGACACCCTCCTGAATGTGCTTGGGTTACTGAGGTGTCAAAGCCGCACGAGCGAGGCCGGCGGCCGCCCCGCTGCCGTCCGTGGCTCCCACCGTTCCAGCCTTCTCCTGGCCACCCGGGCGAACTCGGTGGCCGGTGCCTGGAGCTGTCGGGTGGCCCTGGGGCCTCCAGCCTGCCCGGCTTCCTCCTGCCCCTCTCCTAAAGCCCTGCAGATAAGACGGGATCCGGAATCCCGGCGGATCTGCAAAGCATCCTACGCTGCGGGGAATAAAATCTCGAGCGAGGATGCCGGGGCAGCGAGGTTTGCCCGCTCCTTGCACTGCGCCCCTTGCTCGATGTACTCAGCACCATCCAGCCACCGCCTGAGCGTCCTTTCAAGCACCGGCAAAGCTGTGAGGGGAGAGGGGAATAGTCCCATTTTCAGCGCTTTAGGTGGCGTCAGACTGGGAGAAAGGGGGACCCGGGGGGGAGAAGGGTCAGCTACGTGCTAACATTTCCTGGAGGAAGCTCTGGGTGACAGTCCCAAGCCGTGGATTTCGGGGACACTTCATGGGAGGCCAGCCCAGCTCTCATGAGTCCCCGTTGTCCCCAAAACAGCATCAGGACTTCTGGCCTTCCTCGGGCAGTGACTCACGAGCCCCTGCCTTGTGTCGGCCCTGGCACTGGGGGTGAGAGACCGCCGCGTCCTCTGGGGAAGCCAACTGAAAAAGGACTCATTTTTCTTGCACCCACCACCAAGGGCTACCCACAAAAGACCCTTTTCTTATTATTTTCTGCCAGCAACTGGGGTCGGCCTCACGCGCCCTCCTTGCGTGCCATTTCTCCTCCTGGCTGGTCTTGCCGCAGTCCCGATTCAGTGCAGGGACCCGGGGCCCCGTGCCCAGCCGTGGTCTCCCTGCAGGTAGAAACAGCAAATTTATAACACGAGAAAGTCCAGACCCTGCTATGAGAAGCTCTGAGCAGGTACGAGACCCTAATTTAAGCCATGCTGACCCCCAGCTGGGGCAGGGACTGGTGTGAGACCGCCGGTCCCCACCTCATCACGGGCACAGCCCACCGAGGACGGGGGGCTCCCAGTGCCTTCACTTTTAGGGTACGTCTGGGGGGAAGCCGCAGCGCAAAAAAATAAAAAAAAAAATCCTCTCTCCACCCTGGTGCCACGGTTTGAAAGGCCAGAGGAAGTGGGAGAGGGAGGGAAATGGTCTTTCTGAGACAAAATAAATCAGCAAATTGCTGTAAAGTGGCCCAAGTGATGCCTGGGCAGTGGGGGACCTTCTGCCGTGGCCTGTGTGTGTGTCCCCCCCCCACCTCCTCAAGCACCGCTGACCCTCCTGCCATTGGGCTTTGCCACGTAACAGCCCTGAATTTCGGGTCAGATCTGCAGCTGTAGGTGCAAGCGCTGCTGACCAGCTCCCCGGTTATTTCATTTAAGGAGGTGCCACATTTAAGCGCTCATTTTTCTGCCAGCCCGGCGACGATCTCTTCTAACCAACAGGAAAACTGCCCATTTTCTAAACCCATGTATCGACCCCTCATGTATTTGGGGCAGACCCCATCATTTAACAATATGAAAGCCCGTCCTTGCTGGAAGCAGAATTGCTGCCCCTTAGCTGTGGCTGGGTGCTGCCAGGTTCCCCATCCCCTCCGGGACAGCCAGAAGCGAAGTGTGTGGTTGTTTGTTCTCACCCCAAGAAATCAAAAAGCTGCCGGGGGCACTCGGGATGCTGAGCCCCCCAAGCAGAACAAGCCTGTATCCTCCACCCCCCCACCCCACCCCGAGCCTCCCTCTCGTGGGCATCACGTTTTTGCAGCCCTGTGAGTTCTGCAGTTTGCAGCTGGGTTAGCCTGTTCGGGGGGAGGCGGGGTGCTCCGTGCACCCTCCCAAAAGACGGGGGCTGCTCGACACGGCTTCGCCCCCCCCCTCCTCAATTCACCAGAGAGGTGGGAAGAGCCCGGCGGGAGCGCGGGTTTCTTTGGTGGATGGTTTTTAAGAGCACTGTGCTGATGAAGTCTGTGCTGGGGAGGCGGGCGCACTGTTAAAGCCCAGCTGAAGGCATTTTGGCCTTGGGGAGGTGGGGGGGGGTGGGTTTGAGTCCCCCTCCCCACCGCCCCCCAGACTCGGGGCCGTCGCTCTCGGCACACGCGTGTGTGGGCTGACGTGCAGCTCTGCGTCCGGCCGTTGACTTGTAGACCTGTTTATTTAAGCTGAGCGCTTGGCAGGAGTTGTGTTCCCATGATAAACAGAGGGATTAAAGACCCTTAGTGATCTTAAAGACCTCTCTGCTAAATGAAAAAGCCTCCGTGTAAAATCCCTCATGTCCTGTGAGCGTGGTACGCTCCGTGTGCTTATCGTTGCTGGTTAATATTCATCCCAAGCGGCTCCGGTGCTTGCCTTAAGGCGAAGCATCCTCCAGCTGAATAGATAATAATCTGCTTTGTGCCAACCTGCAGCAGTATTCGGGTACCAATTAGCAACTCCCAGTCGGGCAGGGAAGTAATGGGAGGAGGATTTGCTAAGCAAAGACCAAAAAGAGGGAACAGCCGCAGGGGAAGCGATGCTGGAGTTGGAAAGGCTGCGTCTCTCTCCTGTAAGTGAATTAACCCAGTGCTTGCAATGGGACTGTAATTTTATAATGTAAAGCAGCTAATGGCTGCTGCGAGCACCGGCATACTGGTCTCCACTGGAACTCAGCCTATTAAATATCAAAGGGTGCTGGAATAGCTGGATGTGAATATGCCCTTGTTAACCAGGAGACATCATCCGGGGAAAGAGGGATTGAGCCCTCAGGCAGGAAAAATAATGTTTGAAGTCCCCCAAGCTCACGGTTTTTCAGCACAGTCTTGAGCACATTAAAATGGTTTCTTTTCCTGCTGGAGGAGAAAATGAGGCTGGAAGCTGAAACTGCTGGGGGGGGCGGGAGGGGGGAAGACTGGTGGAGTTGTAAGGGGTGATATTCCTTGCCCTTCATTTGTCTCCCTGGATTTATTGTCTTTTTCGCGTTGCCCTCACTTAATTGTCTATCCTGGAAGACCTTGGATAAATCTTCCCTTTGGGGACTGTTGCTCTTGCTTGGAGTCTGCTTTGTCGGGTGGCTGTTTCATTTTCTTTTATTTATAAATACATCTCATTGCACAGCATTAATGCACCAGGGTATTAAAGGAGCTTGGGGAGAGCTCCTTTCCCTATTCAGATCTGCTCAGAAAATGCATTTAAAGCAGCATCTGCTTCAAAAAGCTGAGATCCCTCTGCAGACTGGTGAGAAGGCACGGTCCCATCCGGCTGAGCTGCCTTGCCACCCTGGCTCGGTCCTTTCCAATCAGCCAGAAGCGGGTCCGTTTGCTCACTGCTGGTTAAACTGGCCAAGGTGGCCCAGGACCCCCCGGGCTGGGTTAGGGTGAGCCCAGGCGCTGGGCTCCTCCTTTCACTTTTGGTTTGAGCTCCCAGAAGAGGCGAGGAGTTGCCCAAATCCTGGGAAATCTGTGCCCCGGGTGATTTTTCTTTTTTCCATCGGGGTCAAGGGCCATGTGAAGCACCAGCCGTGCTCCCATCCACGCGCTCTGGCCGGACACTTCTGGGATTTGCTCCTCTCTCTGGCATAGAGCATGTTAAGAGGCCAGAAGTTTCCTCCGAAGGCTGCTGTTTCCCCCCACAAGCGGGTGTAGCATTTACCGTGGCGTCTGCAGGACAGACGGGTAGAAGACGAGATGTTTGGTGCCTTGGAGGCTCCAGCTTTGGTGCCCGGGGGCAGGAGGAGCCGCCCTGGGTGAGTGATGCAGGACATTCCCCAAAATCCCAGGGCTGAGCTCCTGCCCTGGCTCCGGGGAAGGATGCAGGACCCGATGGGGCTGGGGATGCTCAGCCCGAGCCCCAGCAGCCCACACCTCGCCGGGGCTGTCAGGGGACACCCCGGCTGCTGTGTAGGAGCAAGGGGTGGCATCACCTCGCTGTCCCGAGCTGCTCTGCCACCATTCCCAGCGGGAGAGCCACAGGCTGCCCAGCCACCCCTCTCCAGCATTGGCAGGAGAGCATCCGGCACTAGGACACGTCAAAGGGGCGACTGAGGCTGCTGTGAATTTCGCCACCAGAAAAAAACATTTTTCCCCAGCAAAAACTTCCACTTTTCTACGAAAGACGGAAAAGCTCAACACCGAACCTGCCCAGGGGGACCGGGCTCCTCTCCATCTCAGGAAGGCAGGTTCTCAGCACTACTCGGGCTTAGTTAAAATTAAAGCAGAGATAAAATTACAGAGCCAGCCCTCACGAGCATTAAAATGTCTGCCGGTTTACGATCCCCGCGAGGAGACAGGCTCGCTCGCTCTCAGCTGCGTTCGCTTAGCCCGGAGGAATGCCTTTGAAACGAACCCGTATTTCATCGCCGAGTGTCACCGGAATGCACCTGGGATGTGAGGGGGAACGAAGGAGATGCGTTAACAAGACGGGCTTTGCATTTAATGTCCTTTTCTAGGGCCGTACCTGACCAGGGATGAGGGTGTTAACGCAGCGGAGGGGAGGGGAGGGCGTTGAGGATGGGCTCGCAGGACACTGCGTCTCCCCGGCTCCGTGGGCTGGTCCACGCCAGCCCCGTGAAAGGTCCATCCCCAAGCTCAGCCCGTTCGGAGCGGGGCTGGGCACCTCCGGAGGCTCCCACAGCCCTCCAGCAGCCTTCAAAAATCACGCCGTGAGCGCTTTATTTGGCACGAGCCTTGGTTGGCTTCAGACCGGCCGTGCCGTGAGGCGAGGGGAGATGATTAACTTGTATATGGGCTGGGCCGGGCTGCTCGTGTGCTTCCCACACCCCAGGACATCCCTGGGCTGTGCCAGTTGGACACCAGCCTTTTCGGTTGCCCGTTGTGCCGGGCACCGTTGCCCTTGAGCACCGTGGATGCGCACAGCAGCCATCGCAGACCTTTGGGATCGCGGTCCCAAGGGGATGCATCGGGCTTTGGGGATTTTATTTTTATTTTTTTTTTTTTTCTCTCTGCCGCCCGGCTCAGGCAGGCTCTGCCCCATCTGCAACCCCCCCCCAGCAGCCTGCCAGCCCCTGGCTGCATTACCTCAGCAGTGCCCGGGGTGAATTACTGGAGGGTTTGATTTATTCCCCTCCAGGCTCCTCTCCGGAGAGTTAAAGGTTTCTGATGTTGCGCAAGGAAGGACTAGAAAAGCAGGAGGCAAAGCCAAGGCGGGAGGGGGGGGTGGTGTGTGTGTGGGATGAAATAAAACCAGAGACCTGAGGGTGATGGGGAGGAAGCCCAGACAGCACCAGGCCCAGCAAAATGAAGCCATTGCCCTCCCCCCCCCCCCCCCAGGGCTTGATTCCCCTCACCCCCTCGCCCCATGCCCCGTCCCCCAAGAGCTGCTGGAGCCATGTCTTGCCGGGGACGTTTCCCCCTGCCCGAGGTCTGGATGAGGCCCAGCTCCTGGCCTCGGTTCACCGGCGCCGCGGCCCCCGGCTCCGGGCTGGCGGCAGCCGGAGGCGTCCGGCAGCTCCGCGGGGTCCCCCCCCCCCGCAACGTCACCCACCCTGGGGACAGCCTGTCGTCCTCCGGGCTAGAGAGGGGACATTCATCACAGGATAACGCCAGTCCTCCCCGCGGAGGGCAGGGAAGGAGAGGTGAGCGGTCCAGCCGCTTCTCTTCTTCATCTTCCCAGAGAAGCAAATTTGGGGGTAAACGCTGCGATTTTTTTTTTTTGGGGACCGCTCACGGTCCCAGGCTCAGGTGCGGGGCCGTTTCCCCAGCTCGCCCCGTGCAAAGCTCTTGCGGCTACGGGGAAGTCTGCGAATGCGAAGCACGAAGGCTCGGGAGCCAGCAACAGGACGCGGCTCTTCTCCCCGCCGGCTTCCCGGCCGAGCGCCGGATTTTGCACGATTTTGGGAAGCCCGGGCTGGCCGCGCCGAGCCAAAACCTCGGTGACTTGGCAGCCAGGCTGAACCCTGCCTGTCTCCCCGTAGGTCTTACGCCTCCGCCTCGATGGAAACAAGCAGCAGCTCGCCAGCACCCGGGCACCCAGACCCAGCCATCCTGCTCTCCTCCAGAACCCCCAAATCCGCCAGCAGCCTCCCCGGCGAGCAGGAGAGCACGAGCCCCGTCCCACCCCGCCGGCCCCCTCGCCCGGGGCTGCTCTGACCCCTCTCCAAACCCCAGGGCTGGGACAGAGGGACCCGAACCAGGACCCTGGCGGTTTTGCTTGGAACGAGCTTGTTCGGATGCTGTGTATGAAACTCTTTGAGGTGTAATTTATTTTTGGCTCGCAGGTAAGAAATAGGCGAGTTGATCTACTCCGGCACTAGCCGCCTGCTCCCCGAGCCTGCCGGGAAGCTGATGTCCCCGGCTCAGCGGGCTCCGTCCCCCCCCCCCAACCCTGCATCCCCCCCCCCCCCCCGCATCCCGCAGCCAGCCAGGACGTGCAGGCAGCTGCCTTCTGCCAGGACCGGGCAGGATAAGCCCCGCCGGGACTGGCTCGAGCTGCTGCTTCCCCCGGGGACACGAAAACGCAGCGGCCGAGGGTCCGGCCAAGGATGGAGCACGGCGCCCAGCCCGGCTCCGCTTTTCTCCCTGCGCCTCAACGATGCCGCGGTGGGAACGGCCGCCCGGCACGCGGAGCAGGTTTTTGGGGGGGGGGGTGTGTGGCTGCTGAACCCCTCGAAGAACCCCGAGGCTCACGACGCCCTCCACTCACTTGTACCCCGTGGACGTGCCTCAGAATCACCCGCTCCGTTGGAACAACCCAATTTCTTTGAAATTATTGGAAAATAAGGCTGGAGGCGTTAAGCACCCAGCCCTTCCCTCTTCCCTGCGAGAATGGGGGAGTTCGGGGACAGCTCGGGGCGGGGGGGGGGGGGCTTCAGGCTCTTTCGGGGGTGGGAATGTGTTGGGGGGACGTGGAGCTGCTGGGGGGGATGACGGAGGAGCGTCAGGGTTTCTGGACGATCCCTAAAAAGTCCGGAGGGAATTTTGCAGGGTTCAATCCTTTTGTTTCCTAAGGAAATGGTGCTGTCGTGAGCACGAGGCGGCGCGGCCGCTCGCCCACCCCTGCAGCCTCTGTCAGCGCCGGTGCTCGGCCAGTTTGAATTAAATTGGGCAAAACAGAATCAGGTATTTTTACTTGTTATGGCAGGGAAAGGGGGGGGGGTTGGGAAAAAAAAAGTCCCTGTAAGTGAGGCTGCAACGGGCGTGCAACCCAAAATAATCCACGTGGGAGAGAAGTGTTACGAATGACTCCACAGCAGAGTTTCAATTAGTGACCACGCTTTATTCCACACCAGAGAATCCAAGGAGAAGCGACAGCAAGGCTCAGACTATCTTTTTCCATATAATTCTCAATTTTTTATGTACAATGTGAGTGGATTCCCTGCTCCAGGGAGCTGAGTGCAGCCTTTAGAAAGATCTGAATGTGCTTAAAAAAATAAAAATTCCATTAAAAATAGGGTTGTGGATGGCTTTGTTACCTGCATCAGATGAAGTATTTTACACATGAAAAATGAAACCACCTTTAGAAATATAAAATTTATTAAAAAAAAAAAAGTGCTTTAAAAATAAAGGGAAATACCTCTTTGTGTATCCTGAGTTGAGACTCAGGCTTCCCAACCTAATTAAAAAAAAAAAAAAAAAAAGGGTAAAGTATCTTTTTAAAAATTATTAAGTAACATTTTGTTGAGTCTTTTTTTTTTAAAAAAAGATCCCTCTATTGACTTATTTTAAAATTAAAGAAATGTCAGCCCTAAGGAAGGAACAATAATTTGAAGCAAGGTCTTGGGGTTTTTTCAGTGTTCACAGTCGCGACCGCGGTCGCTGTTACCAAAGTCGCAGAAAGTTGTGGGGGGGGAAAAGGTTTTTGGGGCAGGATCTGGAGAGGTCCTGGCCCTCAGCATCTTCGTCTTCCCACGGGTGGGGGGGAAAAGCACCCGTGAACCCCAACCCCGTGGGACGGCCGCCCCCAGCACGACGCTGGGGCAGCCCGCGGCCCCCTCGGCGTGGCTGGCCGTGGCATCGCGCGGTTTTTCTGGCCACGCCAACAAACCTTCCCCTGGGCTGGGGAGTGATTTTCGGGGGAGCCGGTGCCTGTTTTTGGGGGGGGGGGTGGGAGTGGGGGGGTCCCCTGCTCTCCATTTACAGCAGGGTGGGGGGCGCAGGGCCCCGCAGCTGGGGTGGCTGCGGAGGGGCTCGGCCCCGGAGTGGGTCAGCGCCGGCTTCGTGGTGGGACGACTCTGCCCGACGTTCGGCTGTTAAAATTGGGCAGGCGGGAGCTCGAAGTGGGGGGGGGTCTCCCTCCTGAGGAGGGGGTCCCTCCTCCCCCCCCCCCCCAGCCCCCAGAAGCTGTGGGAGCACCCAGGGCAGCGACGCGCCCACCCAGCCCTCAGTTTCAGCATCGCCACGGCGGGACCCCCACCCATGGGACCCCCACCCACGGGACCCCACCACCTCCTCCAACCTCCGCGCTCGGCAGACACCCCGAAAGAGCTTTTTTTGGGTGGGGTGGGGACTTGGGGGTGAGGAGGTGCCACCCCTTGGCAAGGGTGACTCTGCTAGAATTAAGATGCTCTCGCCTGAACGCCCACGCTTCACCGCTGCGTCCGGCCCCCCCGTCTTCGGGGTTTTAAGCGAACGGGGGCCGGCGCTTCCCGGGGGCCGTCGGCTGCAAGTGGGGTGACACAAGAGGGGAGCAAACGCAAGGCGGGGGCTGCTCGGGGGTTCAGCTCCGCTTTGGGGTGACCCGCCACGGGAAAGGGGGGGGTGTTGCCAAAAAGATGAACGACTTCTCGCCCAGGGTTGGGCTCGTGAAGGTCTTGGCTGGGTGCTCCCAGCCAGGCTGGAGGCTGGGAAGGGCCAGCCCGTGAAGTCATGAGCTTAATTAATCACAGCTTTTTTTTTCCTTTGGTATCTCGCCTTGACAGACCCAGAGAAAACCTGAAAATGCTAAATATTAAAGAAGCTCAGCGGTGAGGGAAGAGGCTGTTTGCTTGGGGCTTCCACAGCTGAGCTCACCCAGTTGCACCCCAGCTTTCTCCTGGAGGAAACTGGGGCACAAACTCTCCTTCCATGCTGAGCTCTGGGCGTGCTCGGAGGTGCCGAGTGGCCGTGGGCCACCACTGGTCCTGCGTGGCGCGACTCCAGCTGGGACCCACTGGGAGAAATGGGAGTGAGGTTGGGACTGAGCCGGGAAGGGAAACTGAGGCTGGTGGAGGGAGAGGTGGTGGCATCGGAGGAGGAACGGGGAGGGGTGGGGGGTTGTGGGGTGCCCAGTTCAGCTCAGGGACACAAGAAACAAGCCCCCCGAGGCTGGAGAAGCAGCAGGTCCTTCCCCCCACCCCCCTGCCCACCTTGAGGGGGGGGGGGACCCCAGAGGATGGAGAGACAGCACCTACGAGTGCCAGGCTTGGGAGAAGACATGGAGAGGTGTGTGTGTGGGGGGGGCTTTTTAACCCCTTCCTGCCCAAGCCCTCCCACCATTATGCGGCACCCTCTCTCCTGTCCAGCAAGGAGGCAGCCCTCGGGGTGGGGGGGTCTGTGCCACGGTGTGGCCACGGTGACTCCCCCACGTGTCACCCAGCCGTAAGGGACCTCACACCCCCCCCCCCCCCCCCCCCACCGGCTCCGTGCCCCTGGACCCCAGCTCTGGGCAGTCTGAGACACAGAAATGTTTTATTCTTCCAAGGTCCCTTTTTTTTTTTTTTTTATCTTTCTCCTCCTTTGTTATTTTTTTTTTTTTTTTTTTTTTTTTTTTTTTAACAAAAATCCCCTCCCTGTGCCTGCAGCCGGACCTGGCCACCTCCATCCCCTCTGCCCCCCAGACCAGCTGCTGCCCCCAAACCCCGCTGCTGCCCAGCATCATGACGCCCGAGTGGGGACCTGTCCTTGTGGGGCAGCCCCTGGGACACAGCGGGAAGGCTCTCGGGGTGAGGGACCACCCGATGCCCTGTTACAGCAGGAGACAGCAAGAAGGCACATCTAGAAGGACCGATCATTTTGGGGGGGGGGGGGGGGGGGGGGGGGGGGCGGCAGTGTCTGTCTGACATGGCCTCTCTCACCCCAAGGTAGCCTGGACAGACACAGGCACCGTCTTGCTGGGAATTTGGAGATCCCTGGGGGAGCTGAGCACCACACCGAGGGCACCGGGACTTGATTTGATCGCAGCTGGAGAAGAGGAGCCCGTCGGGGTGCTGGGGGTGGGCTCGGGGAGGGGGTGTGTGTGTGACTGGAAGCCAGCTGGGCCGCCCCTGCTTTAGGGCTTAGAGGGGTCTACGTTGACACAGCTCCTCAGCTCAGCGGGGTGCTGGAAAGGGTTCAAGGCACCTTGGTAACGTCCACACGAAGAGGCGTTTGCTCCCCGAAATTCCCACGGAAAGAAGAGTACGTAAGGTTCACATTAGCACACGTCAATTGTATATAGTGCAAATCAGAGCCCCGGCACCAGAGGGTTCACGCTCTGGTTAGTGGTTAGGATGACCCACGGGTGCAATCCTGGGCACTGCAGACACTCCAGCCCCTGCTCTTCCCCAGCCGCGGGGCATCGGCGCCTCATCCACGGCTCCGAACCCTTCCTCGTGCAGGACGAGCTCGGCCCCCGTGTCACTGTCACACTCGCTCCCGCCTTGCGCCCCACCAGAGGAAAGGGAGCCGGGAAGCCTTCGCGAGAAGACGCGGAGAGCCTGTCCCTCCCGAGCAAAACGCAGGGTTGCTTCTCAAAGGCAGGGCTGCCTGGCCGGAGAGGAGCTCTGGGCGCAGTCCCCAAGGTGGCTCTACCCACCCGCAGCAACGGCCACAACATCCATCCCAACACCCACCCCCTTCCCCAAGGGTGAGGAAGATCCCAGGAGAAGGGCAGGTCTGCGCCCGGCTGCCACCGTGCCCAGAGGGGTGGAGGCCCCTCAAGCACAACCCCCAAAGGGGGGTTTCAGGTCCCGGAGGTTGGGGACTGCTCGCAGGCATGGTCTAGGTTCGCAAGGCCGCGCCGTGCAGAGGGAGTTTGTGGGTTTCCATCGGTCCCGAGCAGGAGGACGTCTTCCAGGTGGCTGCAGGAGCATCCTTACTGGGAGACCTGCGGAGGCGGCAGCCGAAGGTCCGGGCCACGTCAGGACCGTGACTCGGGGAGCGAGGATGATGTGGCAAACGGGAAGGCCAGGAGTGAGGAGTGAGCGCTGGGCTCAGGGGAGTCCAGCCACATCCTGGAAGCAGGGGAGCAGAGAACGTCACCGCTCATCACTGGTTCATGGGCTCCTCTTCCTCCATCGGCTCGTCTTGTGGCCTGAAGCGGAGAAATACGACGCGTGAGACGAGGAGGAGGAGGGAGGTGTGACACAACGCGGCCCCCTCAGCAGCAAGGGGCCTGCTGGCAAGTCCAGCTTCTGGGGCTGTCCCACAAACCTCCCAGTTTGCCAGGCGGAGCCTCCCGCTCCCCCGAGACCCACGCAGACCCTGGCTGAGTCCTGGGGAGGATGAGAACAGGTGGTGGGTGGGTGGGGACCCCGCTGAAAGGAGGTGACGCACCCCCACACCTCCAGCCTCCGAGGGAAGAGGATTTGGTCTCGTTTTCGTCTTGTTTGGGAAGAGCCCGACACTGAATCTCCCAGCAGCCAAGCCAGGTCCTGACCCCACCGCCCCCCCGTGCCGAACGCCGAGCCCAAAGCTGCCAGGACGCGAGGGTGACAGGATCAGAGCTCTCGGTGGGGAAGACGGTTGGAATTTCTACTCCCACACCAGCCAGGACTGTCCTGACCTTCCAGAAGCTCATCCGGCTGTGAGACACGGCCTTTCTCTGCCGTGACACCAAGACTCAGAGCCAGGCACGCAGGGG